GTTAAAAAATTCTCATTATTTAGATTTTCCCTTTTTTTAAAAATATTCTTCCTTTTCTATTTTTATTATTTCTATTTATGTATTTTTCTTAAATATATTTATATTTAATATATTTTTATATTATATATATATTTTATATTATTATATATTTATATTTTTATATTTGTATATTTTATATTTAATTTAATATAAATATGATTATTTTTATCTGTTTCACTCGACGGGTCCATCAGACCAACAGACACTGAAACAACTAAGAAACAAAAAACAACAATATGAGCATCACACAGGGTAATAAAGTTTAAAAAACAGTGAAAACAGGGCTAAAGTCACCTTTTGGAACAGCTCCCTGGCGAAGGCCTCCACGCTCTGGTCGATGTCGAAAAGACATATTTATTTATTTTATATTTATTAAAAAATTCTCATTATTTTGATTTTCCCTTTTTTTTAAATATATTCTTCCTTTTCTATTTTTATTATTTCTATTTATTTATTTTTCTTAAATATATTTATATTTCTCTTTGATTATTTTTTGTCTGTTTCACTCGACGGGTCCATCAGACCCGCAGACGCTGAAACAACTAAGAAACAAAAAACAACAATATGAGCATCACACAGGGTAATTCAGGGTAATAAAGTTAAAAAAACCTTCTGGAACAGCTCCTTGGCGAAGGCCTCCACGCTCTGGTCGATGTCGATGGTTCCCGTCTGCTCCAGGCGGCTCACAAAGTCGTCGGCACTGGAGGCCTTCCGCGCCACGCCCACCATGAACTGGGACACGTAGCGGTCGCTCAGGCCCAGGATGTCGTGCAGCCGGTCGCTCACCCACTGCTCCAGAGCGGCCATGGGGGGGGTCTGGGGGGGGGGGGGGGGGCAGAAACTATCAACCAAGCACCACAAAGGCCATCCTCAAAATACTCTGTATATTCACTAGGGGTGTCCAGATCCAGATATTTTCCCGGCGTATCAGAGCATGTGTTAAAGTTTAAAGGGGACATATTCATCAATATATAGGATTTATACAGTGTGGGAAATAAGTATTTGAGCCCTTGCTGATTTTGCAGGTTTGCCCACTTACAAAGAATGCTTATTTTTCCTCATCAGATGGTTATCAATTTGTATAAATTCATATTCTGGAATTTTCTTTGGGATTCTGTCTTTCACTGTTAGAATGTACATATGATTAAAGTTATAGATCGTTGCATTCTTTGTAAGTGGGCAAACCTGCTAAATCAGCAAGGGGTCAAATACTAATTCCCCCCACTGTATATATTCATCAATATATATCTAAAGATCAGAGAAGAAGAAGGAGAAGAAGAAGGGGTGCAGCTGCCTTTACTCAGACTCTTTTGAAACGTTCGATCATCTGGAAAATGAAGGTTTTCTGAATCTAGATGCTGCATTTTATCCTGAAAACAGAGATTAAACGTGGGTGGATTGCCTGTGTCTCATTTG